AACACTGGGGCTGGAGAGATGGCTCAGCAGTTAAGAACACTAGCTATTTTTGCAGAAGACCCAGGTTTGAATCCAGCACCCACATGGCAGCTAACAACTGTCCGTAACTCCAGTCCCAGGGGATCCGACAGCCTCTTCTGTCCTCCGCGGGCACTGCACGACACGGGTGCACTTACCTACATGCAGGCAATACACACATACACATAAATAAATAAATAAATAAATAAATAAATATTAAAAAAACTAACAGATGAATATAATGTCATAAAACTGTAAGATATATATAAATAAAAAACTATACATATATGTATATATTATATATGAGCATACATATGCATGCAAACATTAGAGAGATATGTATCAATGATTAAGAAGATTTTTATAAGAACTTAGGAAAATAAAAACTATGATAGGACTAACAAAAAAAACCCTGTAAGATATAAAGTCATAGACTAATCCTAACACAGTAAGAGTGGGTGATTTCAATATTGGCTCTGACCAATATACAGGTCTTTCTGACAAAAAATGAAGAGAAACATCAAAATTAGAGGACATTATATATCAAATGAACTTAGACATAAAAACATTCTACCCAAATATTACACAAGACGTATTTTTCTGAGCAATGCATGAAAACAACAAGAGAAATCACAGAATATACAGAAAATCACAGACATTAAACAACACAATACTGAATTATGAGGTCACTGAAGGAAACAAGAAGTAACTTTAAAGATTCTTACAATGACTTAAACAGAAGGTTCAACATATTCAAACCTAAGAGGGAAGATTACAGGTGTAAGTGCCTACAGTATAAAACCAGGGAAGTCTCAAATAAACCAGTGATGAACCTTGGGACCTCAGAAAAACAAGAACAAATCAAAACTGAAAAGCAGTAGATGTAAAGAAATAATTAAGATAAGGCCAGAAATTAATGAAGTAGAAACATAAAAAAGGACAAAGACTCAATGGAATAGTTGGCTCTTTGAAAAGATAAAGAATGAAAAACCTTTAGCCTAAGAAACCAAAAAATATAAAAAATAAAAATTAATAAAATTAGAGCTGAAAAGGGAGCCATAACAACAGATACCTATGAAATTCAGAAAATCATGACCATACATTTTAAAAACCCACATTCGGAGCTGGAGAGATGGCTCAGTGGTTAAGAGCACGGACTGCTCTTACACAGGACCTGGGTTCAGTTCCCAGCAGCCATATGCCAGCTAACAACTGTCCATAACTCCAGTTCCAGGAGATTCAACACCCTCTTCTGACCTCTGTGGGCACTGCATGACACTGGTGCACTTACATGCAGGTACTACACTCATACACATAAAAATAATAAAAAAATTCTAAAAAACCTATATTCAATGAAACTGGAAAACAAAAAATGGATATATTTCTAAACTCAGAAACCTATGAAAATTAAAACAAGATGAGATAAATAAATCTGCAACAAGCAGTGATATTGATTTTATACACATATATATATATATATATCTCCATCCCAACTAGGAAAAATCAGGTTTAGATTGATTCATTGCAGAATTCCACCAGATCTTCAAATACATCGCACATTATACCAAACATTTTATGAAACCAGTATTAGGCTGGTATGAAAAGATACAACAAAAAACAAAATCATAGAGCAATCACCCTGATGAACATAGATACAAAAAACTCAGTGACAGCTCTACCGACTGAATTCAGTATCACAGCAAAAAGATCATGTAGTTATGTTCAAGTTGATTTCATTACACATGAAGTAATAGTTCAACTATAGATTAGTAAATGTAATTCATAGCACAAGTGGACTCAAAGAATTCATATGATGATGTCAATAAAGACAGAAAAAGCCTTTTATTATATCCAACATCCTTTCACAATAACAGCCCTGGAAATGGTAGGGATGAAGGGAGCATACCTTAACATAATAAAGGCTGCATATCACAAATTTACAGCTAGCATCATGCTCAACAAGGAAAAACTCAAAGCACTGCCCCTAAGACAAGAACAAGACAGGATGTGCACTCTGTCTACTGCTATTCAACAGAGCAGTGAGACAAGACAAGGAAATAGATACAGTAATGAAAGAAGCCAAAGTATCCCTGTTTGCAGATGATATGATTCTATACATTAGAGACCTTAAAGACTCCACCAGAAAAATGCTAGAACTGAATGTGGCAGGATACAAAATTAACATACAGAAATCTATTAATAGAGTTCCAATGGACCAATGAAAATTGTACTGAGAAAGAAACCAGGGAAACAATCCCATTTCCAATTGCCTAGAGGTGAAAAAACAGCTGGTAATACACCTAAGCGAGGAAATGAAAGGCCTGTACAACAAACCTTTTATGACACTGAAGGAAAACAAAAACAAAAACTGAAGACACTAGAAGCTGGGTAAACCACGCTCATGGATAATCACTGGTGTTAAGAATGGCCATTCTGTGGGGCATAGTGCACACTGTGGATCTCTGTGAGTTCAAGGGCAACCTGGTCTATATAGCAAGTTTCAGGCCATCTGGTGCTACAAGGAGACGCTGTCTCAAAAAAGACCAAAAAAAGAATGGCCATTCCACCAAAAGCAATTTATAGATTCAATCTAATTCTGAAAAATTTTCAAGTCATCCTTCCTAGGCATAGAAGAAATATGATCTTAAAATTCATATGGCACAATAGAGCCTAAATAGCCAAAGCAATTCTGAACAGAAGCAATACTGCACGATCTGTCTCCATACCTGATTTCAAGTTATACTACAGAGCCACAGAGGTAAAAACAGAACATAACGGGCACAAAAAGAGACACAATTATCAATGGAATAGAGAACCCAGACATAGGTCCATTCAACTACAGCCACCTGATTTTTGACAAAGACATCAAACACACACACTGGAAAACAGAAATTATCCTCCATAGCCATGTGCCTGGCTCTTCTCTTCACTCTCATGAAGAAGGACATAATCATATAGGTCAGAAATCCCAGTTATATAGAAGGTCAAGGCAGGAGGACCTAAATTCAAGAACAGCATGGGCAACAGATTAAAAAAATAATATAGTACAGACATTTTTACACATTATGTTTACACATAATGTTTACACATATTATATGTACATACATAAAACAAAAATATAAATGTGTAAAATTATATATATGTATATGTGTATAGATAGACAAATAGATTTTGAGATACAGTGTTCACAAGAGTTTCAGAAAAGAAAACTAGAGACACCAATCTGGTCCTGAGGCTGGTGATCACAGAGCTGTCATGTGGAATGGGACTAAGGTGTTTGTCTCTTCTTTACCAGCAATCCTTTGGTGGCAATGGGGAGTGGGGGTGGGGGACGCTGGGGGAGTGGGATGGGGATCTCATTGCTCCAGATGACAACAGTTCCAACAGTTCAGCCAGTGGCAGGGCTCCTAGCAAAACCATCTTTCCATTCTGCCCTCTGGCCACAAGCAAGCCAGATGCACTGTGGCAGCTATATAAGAGAATCTGGTGGCCTTGGGCACTAAGCTCAGCCACACTGCCAAAACCAATGGCTCGCTGCCATTCTACATAGGCACACTGACAGGGCCTCCTATTCAGCACTGTTCTCTATCCCTTTGAGGCTCCTCTGAGCCTAGAACAGACACAAGCTTCTCTGGTCCTTTGAGAAGAAGGTGGCAGGCATAGAGAGTCATCCACCTGAGCCCCACCCCTAGACCTCAGCCTCCCTTTCTGTTCAGTGGTCCGACCCCACCCCTCTCCTAAGCCATGCCTTACTCTTGCTTTGTCCCACTAAACAGGGAGACAAAAGTGACATGGCTCCACTCTCCAGAAGAACGAACTGAGCTGTAAGCAAGGGATTGGCTTCTCTGAACTTCCACAAAGGAAGGTGATTGGGATAGAACCCAAGGCTCTGCACCTTTCAGGAACATGCTGCTCTACCCCTAAACTCTTGGTAACTGGTTTTCTGCTCTTTGAATTAGTTTGACAAAGTTTTACTAATTTACCCATGTTGGCCTTGAAATCACTCTGTAGCCGGGGGTGTTCTCAACATGCCTGACGTGCTGGTAAGATCTGAACCCAGGTCTAGTCCCCCTTCCCTTCTTCTTGTAAAGAGGGTACTGAAGGGCACATTCAGAGAGAATAGGGAGAAGAGGTGAGGCCTCTGTGCCCAACCTGAGTTGAACACCTACCTGGGTGAGGCCCTACCCATTCACTCCCAGACCAGGCCTTCAGTCCCAGATGCCACGGAGATCACAGAGTCAGAGATGGGGAGAGAAAAGGGGCCTAAGAAGTAAGAGTGGTAATTCAGGTCTACAAACCCCAGCACTGAGGAGGCTAAGGCAGGTCGACTGCCAGCCTGAACTACATAGCGAAACGTTAAGAGAGGGAGAGAGGGAGGAAGAGAGAGATAGGAAAAAGACAGTCAGAAACGGAAATAGTTGGGAGGGAAGCTTCTACTCGAGGTCTCCCAGCGAGGAAGTGGGAACATAAGGATGGAGGTCTGGGGTTGCAGAAATGCTTTATGAAGAAGAGGGGTGGTGAGAGTCAAAGAAGCTAGACAGAAGAGAAAACATCCCACTTAGATCACCGGAAACAGGAGGTCGCAGAGACTCTGAGGACGCAGACTCCAAGGTAGCCGGCCAGTGACCCAAGCCAGAGGGTGGCAGCGGCTGCAGAAGCGGGATGAAGGATGAGCCGGCTCGGATCCCAGGCTCAGGGAAACCCGCACAGTGGGAGCAGCGGGTCTCAGTTATCCCGGGGACTTAAGTCTCCACTGTCCCGCAGCCGCGAGACGCCCGGCCGCGCAGCCTGAGCACCCCATGGACACAGTGCGCAGGCCTCGGACCCGGGCCGTGACCGCTTCCATCCGCCCTCCCCCCGCGGTCTTCGGATCCCCCCCCCCCACCTGCGGCTCCACCCGGGGCGTCCCCAGCGCGGCCCTGGCCAGACTAGCGCAGCCACTGCCAGTCCCGGCTTCCTCCCGGTCCACACGCCGCACTTACCATGTCTGGATCGCGACGACCAGCTCCTCACTACCAGTCTCCACAGAGCAGCGAGTCAGGAGGTAGCAGAGCCCGCGGCAGAGATCCCGGGACTCCTGGGAAGAGAAGGAAGCTGGCCACCGGCTCAGGGACTGTGGGAAACTGGGTTCAAACGATAAGGCTAAAGAGATGGGGAAAGCCCGCCTTCCTCTTGTGACTGCCAGGCCCCACGACACCACCTCTGATTGGACAGGCGTTCACAAGCCACCGCGTCACACACTGATTGACGGGAAAGAGCACCAATCCCCGAGGAAAGGAAAAAAAAAAAAATCCACGTTCTCTGCAGTTATTCTAAGGCCGGTTGTCCAGTGCAAGAACCTAGCCCAAAGTGAACTTTTATTTATTTATTTACTTATTTTTGAGACAGTCTCCTTGTAGCTCCAGCTTGCCTGGAACTTGCTATGTAGACCACGTTGGCCTTGTTCTCACAGAGATCCTCCTGCCCCTGCTTCCGGAGTGCTGGGATTAAAGGCACATGCCACCCAGAAGCTCTGTATCAGCTCATGGATTGTAAGTATGTTATTCACAAAAGTAAATACATGACAAGTTTTTAAATCTTCCACTAAAATTTTCAAAGTCTACTCTTGAGGAGGTAGCCTGAACTTTGAAATGGGAAGAAATCTCCTAAAACAGCATTGTGAGATACAAATAATGAGGCAGAAATGTAAAAATTTAAATTTTAGATTAGTGTTAGATAAAAGCCGGACAGGGAATAGCCACAGAAAACATAGGAAGACTCTGGTAAAGCAAAGCTTATTTCTTAGGATTTCTGGTGGCTGGCAGCTCAGCTGAGGAGAGAAAGGCAACCAGCAGCCTGCTGACTGCTAAGTTCTTATAGGGAGTTGGGGAATGTGGAAGGTGGCAAAAATAATCTTTACAGTTTCAAGGGAAGTAGCCTGAACTGAGACAGCTCTTACATCATTGGGTCTGGGTGCAGAGACCTGTTTATCTTCCAAAATTATATGGGGAACAGCTTTGTGCTGAGACAGCTCTAAGTGTAGCTGTCTGGCCAGTTCCTGTTTTGCAAGGGAACCCTCATGGCCTGTCTTGTGAGGCTTTTTTATACTGGGAGAGGGTCATCTGCAGACCTGGACTCCCGCCTTTCCTGTTACAGGAATGGGGGCATCGTTTTCTCATCATGGCTACTTCCTGCTGGTCAAGGTGGATGTGGGGAAAGGAAGGCTGGAGTCAGGGTCCAGTCAGGCAGCAGGGGTCTCCAGCTTGTGCATCTGGACAAAGTCCTCAGTGGCCCACAGACATTTATACATATGTGAGGGAAAGGAAAATAACAGTTGGTTAAAACTGGTATGAGTTAGTTGTATCCGGCCCTGAAAATATCTGAAGAGGCAAGGAGTAATGGTTAGCACCAGAGTGATAGAGATCAGGGGCCCAAATAAGGGCAGAAGCCAGGGAGTCAGTCCTGAAAAGATATCCCTTTGGGGTGACTGCTGGTACTGGGAAGTTCTAAGTGAGAAATCCTTGACGACCTGTTGGAGGCATTTTATGTTGTGTTCAACCGTATTTGATTGGTTGACATAATAACAGCATTTCTTGTCCAAGAAAATGCAGGTACCTCCATTTTCTGCAGTTAAGAGAGCCATGGCTTCCCTTTTCTGGAGGGCAACTTTGGCTAGGGAGGGCAGTTGCTGTTGTAAGATCTGGATTGACTGGGCTGTTGTTTCCATTGCTGTAGTAAGTTCCTTCTTGAGGTTCTGGATCTCCTGAGAGAGGTGTTGGGCTGAGAGCAAGTTATGTCCCAGGCTCCCTGCTGTGAATCCTGTGGTGGCTATGGATGATACCAGGCTGATTCCTACCAGCACTGTTAGAGTAGCTGACCTTTTTGCTCTGCTCCTTTTTGTTTCTGTGGAGAGAGACTCATGCACCTCTCCTGAGGTGTGCAGTGTTAAGCTAGGTATGAGAACAACTGGAGTGTAGGTATAATTGACTGGTGGGGAGATACAGGAATATATCTTGGAGGAACAAAGGAAAAGTAGCCCTGGGGCTAGACCAGTATTGCCCTGATTGTATCATTGTGGATGGAGGAGTGGGGGCAGTTAGAGACTTAAGCCTAATGTCTGGGAAGTTCAATCCTTTGAACTCTTAAAGAAATACTGATCATTTTAATTTTTGGTTATACTTTCCTTTCAGGTGTTTAAGACAATACAGTTGGCCCAAATAAACCAATTCATTTTTACTCTTAAGGTCTTTTAAGGAACTGTTTCTCAGGGGTCACATGGGCTTGGGAGGAGCCCCTGGCTCCTTTCTTTTACAGTTCCATCTATGTGATGACAAGTCACAGGTCCTACTTGACCATAGCTGGCTTCACTTGGAAGCATGGAGGAAATGTTTCCTCGGTGTTGACTCTCAGTAGAATGGACACTGGTTCAGGTCCATCTGGTGGGGTCTCCATGGCCTCCCTGAACAAGATGTCAGGTGACTCCTCACAGTTATGGGACATTTTGTGAAATGCTCCATAGTCCCCTGGAACTTAGTTGACCTAGGAGGGCAAGGAACAAAAACTGTCCCTTTAAGTCTCTCTGACCAGATTAGTATAGGCCCCAAAGTCTGGCTATTAAACACCCAAGAAGATTAGTTACAGCAATCTGGTACTTTTAATTATCATGTGTTATGTAGATAAAGCCTGGGAAAAACCCATTTTTAGATAAAATTTTATTAGACATCCCTAAAATAGTTGACTAAACTATGACCTTAGCCTGGGGATACTAAGCAAGGCTTACACCCTTCTAAGGTTTTAGTGTCAAACCAATGTTTGAGTACATCAAAGTTTTCCTGGGGGAACTGATGAATTCACTGAGCCTACTTACAGAGATGATTGAGGGACTGCTGAGGTGTATGAGTGACCTGAGAGTATTTGCACTGGTTGTTGACTTTTTTTTTTATAACCTCATGGGTCAAATCCTCTCTTTGCAGCCTTTGCCTTCCCAAGATTATATACTATAATCCTTTTCAAATGTAGGAGATCATTTGTAATTAGGGAAGAATTACGTACAGGTGGCTTAGAAGCATGGCTGAATACTCAGGTGAGGGTCCAATGATCCTGCTTACCCCTCCTTTAATGAAGGAACATAACTGTCAACAGGCCCAATTGTGATGATTTTAGTAAGTAGACGCAGCTGAAGTCATGAAGATGGTAGTTATTTGACTTAGGAGTGATGTGCAGCATCATCTTAAAAAAGAACATGAACTCCAAATTACACACATAAGATAATGTAATTAATACTATCCATTTACACACGGTGCTTTATAAGTTTCCAGATAAACCTTACAGAAAACATAAAACCATTAATAATTTTTGTTATTTTATGTAGTTTAGAGAATGGTTTACCAAAAACTTGCTTTGGTTTTGAAGAAATGTAAACACTGGATAGAGAAAAGTAATTGGTACATTAAAACATTATCAAATTGAAGTTCACAACCTCTAGTATAATCAGTTAAGGAAAACTATGTTATAACCCTCCTCAGACAAACTTTTCAAATATAATTATATCTGAAAGTCCTGGTTGCTTTAAGGACTTGAGAAGACAAGTCAAGGGAGTGAGAGCCTCAGGCTTAGACTGAGGGGTTCCCATAGTGACAGATTAAATAGACAACTATAAGAAAATGGATGAGAAACTGAGTAAATAGGTAGAAGGAGATGATGAGGATTCTCTCACCCTGAGAGGTGGAACTGGGGACGCCAGTAAGGATGCCCGGTAGAAAGGTGACAGAAACAAGGAATAGAAGAGCAGGAGGAAGAGGGAGAAGGAGATACATGAACTGTTGGATGTGTCAAATAGGTATGTGTGGAACCAACATGCAGAAAGGAGTCCCCTTCTACTGGAGGCCCGAGGAGTGGTCCCAGTCTACTGGAGGTAGCGTTCTACAAACACCAGGGAGGTGTGCTCACCATAGAGGGGACAGAGCAGGTTCCTGTCCTGGACAGGCAAGGTGTGTTCCTGCCCTGGAAACAGCATCCTGTCACCAGTAAAAGGAATGAATTTTTCAGCACACTGGTGTGTCCTTTGGACTCAGTTTGAAAAACTCAACTGACAGTGAATGTGGTATGACCAGGTGGAGGAGGAAGACAGAGTACAAGAAAAGAGATGGGAAGAGAGACAAGGAGAGTAAGAAAGAAGGGGAATTGGAGAGAAAAGAAGAGAGAGAGAAAGAGAGAGAAAGAGAGAGATATTTTAAGAGCAGTGGGTGGGGAAAGAGGAAAGATGGAGAGGAACTTAAAATTAACTTATATATTTTTGTTCCAGGAACCATTTTGTAGATAAGGATTAAAGAGAGAATATTTTGTCCTGAAAAAAATATTTTTGTGTTAATTCAACAGTTTTAGTTTGTATGAAACCTCAGTTGAGTCAATATGATACTGAGTAAATTAATTTTAAGAAACACAAATTTATGTTGACTGTGTACACATATCTAATTATATATGAGATAGATTTTAATAACTAAGATGTTGTAATTATTATTTTGAGAATGTGGTTTATTATTTTTAAACTAAAACACATTTGAAGTAGACAAATTAAATGAATACACCTTAAAACATCTTGAAAATAAACTAAAACAAAAAAAGATATTGAACAAATAGGACTTTGTATAACCAGTTTAGATGTTGTTTTGTATAGGTATTCAGCATTTGAAAGTTTTGTGAAACACTTAATAAACTTGGAGACACTGTTTAATAGATTTTAAAATAATTAGGGTACCCATTTATAAGGCCTTTGAATGTATCATCAAAATATTTATAAATTTGTACATGTGTATTTTCATTAGGCATGCCAAAAATAAAACAGATAATTTTTGTGTATAAAAAACAATGAGAAAAGAGCTAAAATGGCCATAGTTCAAAAATTGTTTTGACACAAACAATACATGAAAAAAAATATCACAGACACATATAACACAATCACATGAAATCTAGGTGCACCAAAGAGTAGAAGAAAGCTTGTATCTCTAGTTCTTTAATATTTAAAATATTAGTGGTACCCACAAGCCTCTCTCTCTGGGGTAAGTTGATTGGGCCCTCTGCCCCTTGACTCCCCCAGCCTCACTCACCCTCCCATCACCCCTACCGGTCTCTCCTCCTAGCCTGGGTCCTGTCCCATTCCTTG